GAATTCATCTCCTAAAGTGCAGATCCATATCCGCATATTTCTAAAGAGAACCATATGAAAGTGATAGAAGAATCAATCATTCGAATAATAGATATATGCTTTCATGAAAAGATTTTATAAGAACAGCTCTTTCAGAATTATGCTTTCCTTTGGACAAAAGAAAAGGATCGGACAAAAAAAGGAATGATCATAAGTTCATAAAATACTTCAGGAAATTTTGGTCTTTCAATAATTCAATTTGATCTAGGTCAACTGATTGCATGAAGAGAAATTTTGTCTACATTTAGTGATCACAAAACATGACAACAGGCGTAAAATAAAGTGAAAACGGAAAACTCACTTTCAGCAGCAGACGTCTTGAGAAGCTCAAATGCAGAAAAACTGGACGAATTCGATACCGATTCCGATCTCGATCCTGAATCCGATGCTGCCTCGCATTTTAGGTTTACATATCGTGATTTTCCATTATAACTCAATGTCCCAACACTAACTGGCTTAAAATTCACGCGAATCCGAGAACCAACATAAGGAAAAGAAGAAGATGCGGTTGAATTACTATGGAGATTGATCATCGTGTCGGAATTGGAATTGGAATTGGAACAGGAATCAGGAAGAACTGCTGAATTGATGAAAAGACTCGAAACCACCACCATTATGGAGACCCAGAGACCTTAACAAACCCTAGAAATTGAGATCAAATTAGGTGGATGTGGGGAAGTTGAAGAAATAGAGAGGATTAGTTGAACAGAATCTGTCAATTTGATTGAATATGAAATGGTGCGGCATTTTTGACTAGGTGTTTGTCGTTAGGCCCCCACACGCCTGCTTTTCAAGAAGTACTAGAACAGAAGAATTCATCCTCGAGAACGTGACTGTTTGACTTTTTGTTGGAGTTGACCAAGTTTTATTCCATTGATTTGCAAAAGCAGTCCCTGAAAAATATTTCACTTTGCACTTTTGTTGCTAACAAAATTCTTCTTACATTTGTTCCACTATGAACCAGGTGAAATTACATTTAAGTCCTTCGTTGATTGCTACTAGTGACCGTTGTTCCATTAATTGAACCGTTAGTCCGTTTGCTTAACCATCTCAAAACATAAGAAGGGGTCCTTTTGATACTATCAGAGTTTGTCATCATAACTTAACTTGTAATCATACTGACTTGTAGTTAAAGAATATATCATTTATAATATCAATTTTATTCTGCCTTTGGTTACTATCACTAGGATTGTGTATGGGTCGGTTTTGATCGGTTTTAGATCCAGAATTAAACCCAAACTGAAAATGGTTGGTTTCTGGTTTCACAACCCAATAGGGTTGGTTTCTCCAGTTCTAGAGTCGATTTTGGCGGTTTTCCGGTTTCTCAGATTCAACCCATATACTGGAGTGTCGGCAGCGGCTTGTAGGTTTCATGTGTGTGTGTGCCAGTTTTTTGGTTTGGATGGATCGATTTCTGAGTAAAAACCGAAACTGAAACAAATTTTTTGGTTTTTAAATATTTTAAACACTAACGTCAGTTTTGCTTCGGTTTCGGTTTTGGTCCGTTTCTCAGTTTCTTGATTCACTATGGTTACCCCTAATTATCACATGCAGTTAGAGAATATATCATTTATGTCAATTGTATCCCGTATCCGCATCGCGATCGTTTATTATCTTATTGGCCAATTTCTTGTTACTCGTCATGGGTATAGTATTGATAGATGATATTAGAACAAATGGATTCTTATAACTTTTTAATATTGTATTATGTGTTTAAAATATAAATATATATATATATATATATATATATATATATATATATATATATATATATATATATATATATATATTTATTTATTATTCTTGTTATTTTTAAAACATTTTATGTTATTAAAATTTACTAAAATACAAATGATATGTCTAAAATGTATATTAAAAATAATGTAAATATGATATTCGATGATGGAAATATTAAGGTATGAACATGACATGAAGAATATAATGAAAAGCCTTACTCAAGGTTTCTCATTTTTATCCCTATCCCACATTGGTGGGAACAAAGAAAATTAAAGTGGCATAATGTTTATATATTCAATTCCTCTTTAATTATCTATTGTAGTCCCACATTGGTCGAGAGCCTTTAAGTAAAGCACGCATAGGCTTATAAATAGATAATAGACTAATACTCTTTATTTCATGTTAGTGGGTTAGTCGTTAGCTAATTAATTTATTCATCTAGTTTTGTTTACTGTTATTTTATTTATTGTTTATGATTTATTCTTTCAACAATTTTAAGTTCAATAAGTAAAAATAAATGAAATGATTCTTTTCTTTGACATAGCTAATTAGATGGTCCAAATGTATATGTAGATTTAGACTGTCAAAATTCTTTGTAATTCTTGCAATGATCGACATTCTGTGAAAATCTTTTGCTGCATCGATTAGGAGAGGGTATATTATTTGATATGATACAATAAGTGTATTAAATAGTTTATAAAAAGTTGAGAAATATCTTCAAATTTGAAAAAATATTGGTGGATTCTAACAAGTGTATTGACACAAACATGGTGCCCTAGGAAGCATTGGTTCTAGGCATTTCCCAACGCCATTCTTGAATTGATTAGAACATCTTTCATTGCAACAACCCATGAGGCAATTGTGGTTACATAATCCCAGTATAGTTTGGCAACTACTCTTCATTGTTTCTGGCATTTGCACTAAATGGCTAGTGACATTGATGTCTGTCGACCCCTTTCTAGCCTCGTTGCTCATTGTAGATCCCGACACTTGTAAGACAACAAAAAAGACAGAGAGTTAGACATAATAATCCAAAACGTTATTTTTAGAGTCCGACATTGACTAGACATAGTAATATCTTTGTTTCTAGGTGTCTTATATAGTCTTATATTTCTCCTTAAAAGCTCTATTGGAGAAAAAAGATGAAGGTTCCATAAATATAACATTGACAAAAAGAACATAAATGAGATTTACCAAGAAAGCTTGCAAGAAGTGGGAGAATTATGATGAGTTGGATTTGTGTTGAAGTGGTTGCCTTGGTCATCGCCATCTCTAGACAACCAAATGCTCAAGCCGTTTAGTTTATAAGAAAAATGAATGGTGGTGAATGGTGATATGATTTGGACTTATATAGTGGCCTACATGTTATCTTTTACTAAAAAGCAATAAGATTCGTAATCTTTTATTTGCTTTTTGGTGCCAAAAAGATCCACCGGGTTTAAATTTATGATTTTTGTAATCAATAAAGGTAATATGTGAGTTTAATTTCATATATAGTATAATAGTAAATATATATATTTTATACTTTAAATTAACATCATTTAAATGCCTTTCTTAAATTATTCCTATGTTCAAATAATATATTTGTTTCTTCATGTAAGCTAATAAGCATTGAAACCATTTCCTTTATTTTACATCGTCTATATATATATATATATATATATATATATATAATATATATATATATATATATATATATATATATATATATATATATATATATATATATATATATATAATGTTTCTTTTTAATTTAATTATTTTTCTATCATCGATTTTTTAAAAACAACTAATTTGCACACCTATTATATTATCCTAAATCTACAAATTTTGTCTCAAATAAGACTTGGAATTCTCCATATTTTGCTGATTGGTTCCATGAATTTCTAATACCGTTGGGCCACATATGGCATCATATTGTTAAGAATCAAGATCGAGTATGTAGCAGTAGCAGAGCATGTAGCATGGGCTTCCTAAAACCAAAGTTATATATGCTAGCCCAATATTGCTTATTCAAATTAAAACCATGTAGGTTAAAAGTTATTTGGAATTTAGTTTTGAAGGTATCCGGTATACAAAATAGTTGTAAGTCAATCTCTCCATAAAAACATTGGGACAAGTTTTTTGACATTCTATTCTTTGTCAACGCCATTAAAAAGTAAGTCACTGATTCACCATCCCTATATGTAGTTTGTATGAGTCGATAACAAAATGTTGTCATTTATCATTCAGGCGGAGGTGGTAATTGGTCGAACCCTCGTGGCTCGACACTAGGAGGTTCACGTGTACACAATGTAATGTTTATTGTTGAAATTGATCTTTGAGCTTTATATTTACAATTTCAAGAATTATGTGTGGACCAAAGATGGAGTTCATGGCACTAAGAAAATCAACTCCCTCATTCACTCAACTAAAAATTGGCTCTTGATAACCATCTTTGATCAAGTTACAATTAAGAATTCTTGAACGTATAACAACAAGCCAAAGAATGGTAAAAATAGTTGACATTGCATTTGGTCTTCTTGAACCTCCTTTTGTCGGACCACGAGGGTGATACCAATTGCCATTGTACCTAGATGGTCAATGGCAACATTTTAACATCGACCAACACAAACTTTGAGGTGATCGCATCATTATAAGAGAGGTGGTAAAATAAGGATTTACTTCTTAGTGGCGTTGACTAGGAATGGAAGGTCAAGAATTAGGCATCAATGTTATGAAGAGATGAGCAAACATTTATTTTGTATATTGGATACCTATAAAATTTAATTACTTTTTTTCGTAATGTTAAAAATAGAAAAATAGTAAAAATTAAATATAAAAAGTGTTAATTTTTAATAGGCTTACATGTAATAAACAACAATAATTTTTCTTTAATTTGCTTATTGTTTGCAATTTTTCGAATTTACAACATTGCATTTTGAATATATCAAATTATGATAATATTATTTAAATATTTATTAATTTCATTGATATAATACCGAAAAAGTTATGAGGCTTAGAAGGTTTTTTTTTTTTTTTTTTCTCTGAAATGTCTTTATAAATAAATAAAATTTAAAATACAAATTCACAATGAAAATAAAAATAAATTATTATAATTTTTAATATACTTGAAATAAAAAATAAGATATTATTATATATCAAAATAAAATTACATTTTGCTAAACACATCTAGGAAACTTTCAGTTATTCCTCTTGTTTTTATTATTTTCCTCCACAAGCCCCTATTTTTCTGATCATGCACCCTCTTTTCCTCTACCCTCGTCATTGAAGAACACATATATAGACAGAAACAAACATCTAAACTCTACCTCAAATGCCCTTAAAAGCTTCACAAATCGTCAATGGTGATCAAATCCATCTCTAATTATTCATGTATCCCAGCAAACATTCTTCTTTCTACCATGAGAAAACACACCACGACATTTACCATAGTAGATTTCGATCTCTATTTAGGGTTTTCTTCAATTAGATCAGAAAAATAGAACCCCGATAATGATCCCCGTTTGAAATTTATAGGTTTTGTTTGATTTTTGATTTGTCTCATGGATGAAGCTGATGAAACGAGAGTTGAATCGCTTCATATGCAGGGACTAATTGTAAACAAATCATATATCTCTAAGGACGTAAGTGCAAATTACCTTGTTATGTGCCATGTCGATTGATAAACAGATTTTCCCGCATTTTTTCTTTTTACTTCGATTCCTCCGTATAAAACCCTGGAAATCACATCACGTATTCACGCAACCCACAAATTTCTTCGCCATTCTTCATGTTCGTCTTCTTTAAGAAAATGGAGCCAATTTCAGTAGGAGACAGATATGCGAAAGCCAAAATTGAAGAACCAAATCTGCGATTGCCTAAAGCATTACTGAAACCTCCCACTGAACTCTCTGATGATCTCAGCTATTTGAAAATTTTCGGTAAGAACTTCAAAATATCTTTAGGAAATTGTATCAAATCATCGCCATTTCTTCTGTTTTTGTATTATTCCATGTTCAGGTCGTTGATGAATGTTCTTATTATTTTTTTCTGTTTTCTGTGGACGTTTAATGGAGAATTTCGATTAGATCTCAAGAGAGTTACGTTTTGTTGTGTTATTTGACATCAATTTCTGTTTTTTTTTTTGATCTAATTGTTCGATTTCGTCACCAATGAAGTTGTAATTGGTGTATCAAACCAGATTGTTTTCAGAAAGTTTGTCATGTATCAAACACTCACATTTGTTCTAAACATGTTGATCAAGAAGAAATCAACCATAAATGCATAAATTTGTCTGTATTTGTGTGTTTGAGGTAATGTATCAGAGAGATTTACCTGTTATTCTCTTGGAAGAATTTCATTTTTCTCTGATTATCAGAAGAGAATACTCGGAAAGCTCAACAGCTAGCTGAAGCAGTTGCTTCAGGGGCCAAACTTGACAGAAAAGTATACAGAATTCGTAATAAAGAAGTATGTGAAACCTCAAATTCCATAATATTCCACAAATATCAAGAACTCAATTCATATTCATAAACCATATCCTGCTATTTTTCCATTGACAGCTTGTGAAAGCGATTGGGGAAGAATATGAAATAATGAAACTGATTCACAGAGCCTCAAAAGCCACAATCGGGCTAATAGCTGATGCTGAAACCAATCTTTATAGTCATTCATATCTGGACTTGTTGGGAACTGTTGAAGAAGTTCAAACTGCTGAAGAACTCATCCTAGATGAAATCCTAGCAGTTATATAATTAAATTAACCTTTTTTTTTTTTGAAAACTATTTCTTTTTCTGGCTTATTTTTTATACTTAATGTGGTTATGAATAATTGTTTGTAGACATATAGCAGTGTGAGTTTTCCAGTAATTCTAATGCCACCAACTGTATACCATGACCAAATGATCATCCCTGCCCAAAAGGTGCATGACATATAATTATATAAATAAATATGCTCAAAAGAATTTTTTTTATTTTGTTTTTGTGAAGGTTTGATTTTTGTTTGTGATCTGTTTATATATACAGGTTGTTCATATTGATGGAATTTATGGGAGTAGTTATGTGAGAATGGAAATGGAGTCTGGTGCATGGATAAAGGTTTTTTTTTTTAATGGTTTATTAATTTTTATTTTTATGAATAAATAGAGTAGACTGATTAAAATGAAAGAATATTTTGATCAGGTTGGAAAAAATCCAGGTGGTTCTGGAGGGGAGAAATTAGTGAACATATTTGGTCCACGTGAGAATGTTATCAAAGCCATGTGGTTAATTCAATCAGTAATCTGTGAGGTGATTTTTTTTTTAATTGATTAAAAGGTGGATGTATAAATGGGGTTAATTTGTTTTATGTGGTTATATATGTTGCAGGAGTACTAAAGATAAAGAAGCTAGTTGTGGTGAAGAAGCATCAATGGATTAGGTTACAATGAAATTGTGTCCGATAATATCACGAGTTTCAAGCCTACAATGTTTGATGAAATTTCTTGAACCTAATAAGGTTCTTCCTTTGTTGAAATGTCAATCAAAAGATAACCATTGATAAAGCTATAAACTAAAAGAAGTGACGATTTAAAAAAAAAAAAAAAAAAATTTTTCGGCTTCGTTTGAGTCTAATGAAGAATTCAACAATCTAACTCCAATATTGAAGCTTATCGGGAAATAAAAGCCCCCTTCCATCATCATACTATCATGTGTGTTATAGTTTAGTTGAGTGCTCGTATCCATATCCATATCGATCTTAAAAGTAAAATTTAAATATATATAAAATAATCGTTGTTTAATATCTCTTTTTGGTGTTCATAGTGCTTAATATATGTTATTTTACGTGATTTATAATCGATAGTTTGCACATGGTGATTTGTAAAGGATGGAGATACATAAATTAATGTATACCTTTTCATTCAAATCTTGATCAAAATGATCGAGTTCGATCTTTGATTTAGGGATGAGCGTGGGACGGAACCGGTACTGACCTGTACCGTTCCCGATTTCCTGAATACCGAATTTGATCAAAAGTTAATCCTGAGTACCGAACTGAATTAACATCACTGGTATCGGGAATGGAACCGGTACTCGGTACTAGTACCGGTACCAGCGGTATCGATTCCCGAATTTTATGTATTTGGAGTACCAAGTATCATCCCATATTTTTAAATTCGGTACGGTTCAGTACCGATTCGGTACGGTACCGATACGTGATTGAGATTTGAGACAAACTGCTCATACCTACTTTGATTTTTCTGTATTGGATCCCCCGTTTGTTGATTTTGGGTTATAGGCTACTCACACTTGGGTTAAAAATACTTTTATGGACATAAAGAACAATATTGCAATTTTCAAGTGTTATAAAACTAGGGTTACATGGTCAAGTAATCGTACTCGGAATCGGATATGCACCGATGTGATTTTTTAGAGATCGGTATAAACAATCTCGAATCGGTCAAACTCGGAAATTTGACTTTTTTAAACAAATAAATACTATAACCGTCAAGTAACTGGAAATATATATATATATATATATATATATATATATATATATATATATTATATATATATATATATATATATATATATATATATATATATATATATATATATATATATATATATATGGGAAAGAGTAATGTTATAAAAAAAGCTAATGATTAAATGCTTATTTTAATAAAGAATGGATCTTTAACAATCTTAGGTCAAAATCGATTCTCTTTGTTTTTAAGACTTTGTTTTAAATTTTATGATCCCATCAAGATAAATGTATTATAAACTATATATATATATATATATATATATATATATATATATATATATATATATATATATATATATATATATATATATATATATACACACACACACACTTTATAATACATTCATCTTGATGGGATCACAAAATTTAAGACAAAGTCTTAAAAGGAGAGTCGATTTTGACCTTAGATTTTTTTTTGAATGGTGGAGATTATATTGTTGTTGGTGATCCAAGTAAACATGTTTAAACAAATCACAATGAAGTATTTTAGATTTTCAGTCCTTTAAAAGTTATGTCTTCCATATTTAAAGTATCGTGTCTTCTTTATTTATAGGGAATGAAAACACCTTTCATTTAAAACGGTGTTGCTAAATTGACACCCTTTAGACACCTTATAAATACTTTTATTAAAAGTCAATCTATAATAAACTATTTACATTTTACTTTTTCAAAAAACAATGCAAATTTAACCAATAAAAAAACCTTAAAAATCAAACATCTTTTTCTTTTTAGTTTTTTCTTGAAACTACTAAAGAATCTTTATCTTTGATTTTTTTTCTTATAATTTTGTTTAGAAAAGTCATTTATTAATCAAGTTAATCCTTTATTATAAGATAGTTTTCCTTAATAATATATACTCAAACATAATATTTTTATCTATAAAAAAAATTTACAGACTCTTGAAAATATATCATTTTTTATGTATTTTTTGTCTAGAAAAATATATTTTTTTTATTTCTAAATAGAATAGTTACAATATATCTTTAACTTTTCTTATATAAAAAGTATAATTCCAAATATTTAAAAATAGAAAGCCTGTTCTAAAAAAAGGTAAACAAATTTTCTTGTTTAAGATCGTAATAATAAAAATAAACAAATAACCCATTCTATAATACTATTACAAATAGATAGAATATACAAATCACACGAACAACAAATTTTGCACCTTTAGGTTTTAACATCAAAACCTTACATCTAAAGAGAAAAACAAAAACCGGAATTTTGTTTAGTTGTGTTTTTATATCCTTTGCTTGTGCATCTAAATATAAAATCATTCAAAATCTAGATATAAAATATCAAACCTAAATAAGACAATACAAATCTTAATATGTGTCATACAGTTCCTAGTTCTTATTCCAATTTATTGAAATTGTTTATACATATCTAAATAAATAAAAAAACATAGAACTAATTAATTCATTTATCTTTAAACAAAATATAGATACTTACAAAATGCAACAAAAAGGACATCTGAAACATATATCCACAGACTTTGAATAACTAAGACCTACAAATATCTACAACAGATTATAAGATATCTAGCTTTGTGTCTTTTTGTGAAAAATTTGCAGATTCAGATCTGTAAATATGAAATATAAAACTCTTAGAACATCAAAATAGAAAATATATTAAACATAAATACACAAATTTATACATATAAGCAGTTTTACATACATCTAGATCTTTAAAACACACACATAAAGATTTGAAATTTTTAATCCTCCTCGTGGCCTTGGTCTCTTTCTGTAAAACACACACACAAACAAATCTCCACATAAAGATTTGAAATTTTTTTATCCTACCCGTGTTTGAAAATGAAGGTGGCGTTGAAGAAAGAGAGAGGGAGAATGTCATGAGCAACTCCATTGTTGGTGAATGGGTTAGCTGTAAGTAAAGGTAAGGATGAGGTTGATCTACACGGTCGTTGTTAATGAAGAAGATAGTGAGGAGATTCTAGATAGAGAGGACAAACCAAGAAGATAAGAAGTATGATTTTAAATGAGGTTGGCTGAAAAGACACTCTAATTTTTTATTTGGACACCTATTTGATTTTTAAGGTTTTTTTATTGTTTAAATTTGCATTGTTTTTTGAAAAAGTAAAATGTAAATAGTTTATTATAGGTTGACTTTTAATAAGGGGGTGTTTGGATAGGAAAAAAAAAAGTGTTTATTGCTTATTTCCACAATAAGCTAATTTAATTTAAGTGTTTGGATAAAATCCAACTTATTTGGCTAAATAAGCTAATTTTAATAACCATTCATCCCCATGCTTATTGCTTATTGTTTATTCCCACCACAAATAAACTATAAGCAATAAGCTAAAAATCTAATCAAAACACCCCCTAAAAATATTTATAGGGTGTCTAAATGGTGTCAATTTAGCAAAACCCATTTTATAAACATTGAAATGGGTAATAGAGTGATATCATAACTGTTGTGATAGGTACAAAGAGCTTTGGGTATTGTAAAAGTTTTCAAAAAAAAAAAAAAAAAAAAAAATCCTTTAGATTTGTAAAAAGAATTGTGGCTATATCGTGGTTTACAGGAAAAAGAAGAGTGAAAGGCTTATAAGTTAAATACTGTACGTCTTTTCATTCAAAAAAATGAATTTTTATATTTAATATTATTTTTCATTTTACATTTAGCTTATGTTTAATTATATAACTTTTGGATTAATATAGCAAAAAAAACGTCTTTTCATCTTAAAAAATGAAATCAATTATGCATAAGGTAATATCTAAATTTATAAATAATTAATTTTTATAAAAACAAGAGTTTAGGATGATTAGAAAGAAATTTATCTCTAAATAAATATACTAACATAAAAAAATGTTATATAAAGTATAAGTTAAAATAACATAATATTATTGCAAGATATTTTAAAGTTTTTTGAATCTCTAGATATATTATTACGTTGTTTTAATGGGTTTTGTTTTGCAAAATTTACTAAAAATTAATAAACCACAAAAATATAACACTTGAAAAATTAGTACAATTGAAAAACAATAAGTGAGTTTTCTAAAAAAATGATATGTACAAAGAAAAGAAGTGATTAAATGTATATAACTTTGTACATATTTTTTATTATCTTTCATATTTAAATAATGGGTTAATAACTTTTTTGGATGAGAGTTTTAGATTTTTCAATCTTTCTAAATAAAATATAAATGATTTTGAAGTACTATTTTTATCCAAAAATCTAACACAGTTATCTTTTGGTAATAAAATAATGAAATAAAAAAATTTCTAATTTAGAATTTTAACATCCTAAAAAATTAACAACTTTAAACATATATATATATATATATATATATATATATATATATATATATATATATATATATATATATATATATATATATATATATATATATACACACACACACACCAAATATAGCCTTAAACCACATCCTCCCGTTTTTACTATTTTGTTTATTATAAGTATTTAAGAATTTTATTTGTTATACGGTCTTAACAATTTTATTTATTTTAACCTAAAACAATTATCAAACTTTTATATATACCAAACATAGCCTTAAACCACATCCTCCCGTCTTTACTATTTCGTTTATTATAAGTATTTAAGAATTTTATTTGTTATCCGGTCTTAACAATTTTATTTATTTTAACTTAAAACAATTATCAAACTTTTAGTTAAAAAATTTTAATGTCATCATATATACATGTCAATCTTCTAGATTTTATGTGGGTAAGATAACTTTTTAAATCAAACACTCAACATATAAGTATTTGAGTTCTACCTACTAATCTGTAATCATCATTATTTATTTTTAAATTAGACTAAGATAATAGATTATTTTAAAAGAAACTTACAAAAATAAATATGCTTGTATTATAGTTTATTATATAAGTTATTTGGCTAACCCAAAAAATATTATTTTTTAACAGAAACTTAAAAGTAAATTATTTATATTTTTAAATGAAAACATACAATTTTCTTTCATCTCACAAAAATAACTTATTGACATTTAAAAAATGAAACCATAACATATTTTTACTTTTAAATCAAAATAATAACGTATATCTAATATTAACTCAATAACCAACTACACAATTTGTATTTGAATTTGGATTACAATAGTACAAAGGTAACAAATCATCAAACATGAAATTTACCATCTATCGACCTATTATTTCAACTATTTGTATTAGGGAAAAGTACAATAAAGTCCCTATGTATTGCTCGTATAATCGATTTAGCTCCTATATATATATATATATATATATATATATATATATATATATATATATATATAACGCCCGGGTTTTCAGGGCTAAGCATTTTTGTCAATGTAATAGTCTAGGTCAACTATTGTAACTCTTTTTGAAGTAATAAATATGAAATATTTGAGTATTATGTGAATTATGTGTGTTTATGTGTTTATTATTTAATTATAAATGTATAATTAATAAAGAATAAAAATGAGCGTCAAAATTAAAGTGTGAGATAATCCCGATATCTCTACATAAAGTTGTAGAATATGTCTCAAGGTTTCCGTACATATAAAGAATGCCCAAATCCGAGCTATAACGAAGAAGTTATGGCCCGCCGAAGTTTTACGGCTAAACCGGCACGACACCGGGAGACGTAAATAGTGAATTTACGATAGAAGACTTTTTAGCCTTAGCAATCTAAACAAAAGTCGTAGAATGTGTTAAACTAAGAACATCGATAAAAAGAACGCCCAAATCTGACTTCGTATGAAGAAGTTATGATTTTTCTAAGATTCGGCTTAGCAGTGCACGGCCTGAAACTCGAATTTTAGTTCGAGCGGTTTTTGGCTTACGCAACGTAAATGAGAGTTGAAGATCTCATTAATAGGAAATCAACGGTAAAAAGACAGACAAAAAACAGAGTCCGTATGTAGAAGTTATTAATTTTACGCAGACGTTTAACAATATAATCTCCTTGTACTGTTAAATTTAAGATCGGTCGAGAATTAGCTGACGGTGTCAAAATGAAAGTTGTAGATCTTATTATTACCTACGCGTGGATATAAAGAACGTCAAAAACGGAGGTCGTATGTGAAAGTTACGGATTTTAGAAGTCGAAGTGTGCTGTGCGAAAATGGGTGATGTGGCACAATCTTGGCCATTGCTTTCTCCCCAAGGCTTGCCACCAGATGGTGACATGTGGCACCAAGTTCAGCCACATTTCACCCTATAAATACCACCTCTCCCACCCTCATTTTCTTCACACCTTTCCCATTCTTTCTTCTCTTTACTCTCTCTCTCTCTCTAGAACCTCTCTCTAGCCCCGAAATCCCCCGAAAAGCCTAGGGAACCTCCCTAGCACGAGGCGGAAGCCCCGGAGTGCTCGAAGGCTCTGAGAAGAAGAGCTTTTCGGCTCGGGAACGCTGCTCCAAGCAAAGCCCGGTTTTCTATAAAACCCGTGTAAGTGAGCTACGCCTACGCTATTTTTAATATAACTTTTATTTAATTATAGTAACGTTATTAGGAACTTATAATAAATACTTGGGCTATTATTATGGGTTATATAAGTATTTTTTTGACGCTTATATAATAATAATAATATAGCTAGACTATTAATTAGTCTCGACGAATAATAAACTAAACTCTAGTGGTAATAATACTAGGTTTCGTCGAAGAAAAATTCTTTTTAAGAAGCGAAGCGCTGTCTGAGTTCGGAATCACCACCTTTTCCGGTGAGTGCATAGTTACCTTCAACTTACACATAGATATGAAGTATTTTATATAAATTACGTGCTATGTGTGCATATTATCTGAATACTTGCTATCTATGCTAGATGAACGTTGTTATACATGTTTTCAATGATTTAAACTGTATATGTATTTTATATCTACGAAAATGTTGGGGTAAAACATGGGTAGATGTAATAGGTGATGTGTGATAAAATGATGAGAGGCCTCGATGTTGTTGTTGTTGATCCAGTCATCTAGCGGAGTATAGATGACGACCACGGACTCTTCTAGACAGTCCAGTGGAACACTAGCAGGTTCGCAACCTGTAGGTGTTGTGAACGATGTGTTCACCGGTGTACTCCATCCCCCACATGGTTGCCTATTAGGACATTTATTGCTAGGAATCCCCTTAGCAGTAGTGTCCGTCCCGATGATGATCCTTAGGCTAGGTCCCTTATGATAGGTGTTTAGGGACGTAAAGTGAGGATAACGGGAACGGGTAATCGGGTTATTGTTGATTGATGAAATTAATAAACTTATTTATTGTGGGTTGAAAACCCTATGTGCTCACCAGGCTCCCAAGCCTGACCCACTCAGTTTTATGCATTACAGGTAGTGGCGCATGAGCATAGGTGTGATGTTTTGGACGAGGGATTACGGATATAGGCCTGTAGATATGAAATAATGTAGTAAGGCTTATATTGTACTGTTTATACTTTTGATCTGTACGAACATGACATCCCGAGTCTTTTAATGAAATACATTTCTATGGAAATGCTTTTGATAAATCTTTATCATATTATTGTTTTGGGACAAATTCCGCAACCCTTTTTATTAAAAAATAACTCTGATTTTGAAATAAAGTATAAACAAAACCGGTCTTTTCTGGCCGTGATTTTGGGGATGTCACAATATATATATATATATATATATATATATATATATATATATATATATATATATATATATATATATATATATATTGCAATTTAGTCCTAAATACCTGTAAACGTAATCAAAACCGGATATTTAATGGGTTAGCCGGTATCTAACTGATGTGACAGCTTACCTGGAAGTCATCATGTTAAATAACATCCTACGTGCCATTATAGAGGGCTAAATCATTGAATCGAGCTCGTCTTCTTCATTCTCCAGTCAAATGAGCGATCGATTAGGGCAAATTGGAAACATGAAATCGATGTCGAGTTCGTCAAACACCAACATCAGAATGTGCTATTGTGGAGATATGGTTGGTATGTGGACATCATGGACTCGAAAGAATTCAGGTCGGAGGTTTTTTGGTTGCCCAAATTACATGGTATAGAATCTTCAAATCTCACCCAAATTCTTCTAATCCTCTAAAATTCCCATTTTTCTGTGTTAAAAACATGCATCTTGCTATGTTATGTAGGATGAAGAGAAGGAATGTGGGTATTTTCGTTGGATTGACCCACCACTATTGAATAAGTGGTATAAAGAAAGAATATATGAATTAGGAGCTGTTGCTAATGGGGGTGTAGCTATTTCTTTCAATAACCCTGTTAATGAAGGTGAAATACCTATTGATGGCCCTATTGCCCCTATGAATGTTGATGTCCCTATTTCCCCTGTGAATGCTCTTGAACCTGATAATCAAATTACAACGCGTGAGAATACACATGTGCCTGGTAATGAATTTGGATTCTGCAAGTGGATGATGGTTTGTTTCGTTTGTTTCATTGTAGGGATGATGTATGCTTAGTTTAGTGTATGTTGTAAGGTATTATGGTATGGTAGGGATGATGTAGTCTTTTGGTTTGTTATCATGATGTAATAGATGGAGGAGGGTTTACTGTAATAGATAAATGTTCTTGTGGATCATGTAATATTTTGGTTAATGAAATGGCAATATGTTATTATGGTTTGCATAAATGGTGTACACTTGTGAAATATAACCATGATTTAACAATTGGTGTTGAATTTGGGGCTAGAATGATCACCATTGACAACAAACCAATGAAGTATGCACACTTGTGGCTAAAATAATTAAACAACAAACTCCATTATGTCATTACCAACCATGTTAAGGGCATTCACAATGTTTCAATGTGTTTACAAAAGATGTACAAAATATGGCTATCAGTAATTTAAGGGCATTCACAAAAGATGTACAAAAGTAGCATTCACAAAAGATTCACAAAAATAGCATTCACAAAAGATGTACCAAAATACCCTTACTACCCTTAACACCCTAACACCCTAATCCAAATCCAATGCTGAACTTGCAGAAGTCCCAACACATCCCATCTTCTTCAGCTTGTTTTTAACAATCCTCTGAGAGGGCCTTCTTCTTTTCACAATCCTAAGGTGTACTGGTAATTCCTGGGTGTCATTAATGCCTTCTTCTTCTTCACTTTCTGGTTGTGTCTCAGGGATAATTTCTTCACCCCCATCTTGTGTCTCAGTCTGAGGTGGATACTCCTCTTCCTATAAAACATCAAGAAATTAATAACATAAATGAATGTAAACATTAAGGTAATATAGAGGGTTTACCCTAGACATAGGAAGAACTTGTTCAATAGTGTCATTGTAATCATTAAGTTGTTTCATACGTGAATCTGTCAGACTAAGTGAATTTTTAATTTCTTCAATTGAATACCCTGATTGTTTCAAATCTTGCATTGACTTCCATAAATGGACTAAATATTTTTCAAGAATAGTGTCATCCTCATTTTCAATTGTATCACCTTCAACTTCAGCACCTCCACCACCTTCAACTCTAACAGATGTCTTACTGCCCCTACCACCTCTTTTACTACCCTTACCACCTCTCTTACTACCCCTACCACCTTTGTTAGCCACTACACCACCTATGTTACCCACTGCACCACCTCTATTACCCCCTCTACCACCTCTACTACCCATTACACCACCTCTACTACCTCTGACACCACCTCTTACACCACCTCTAGTCCAATGACTGATATCAGGATCCAATCTTGGTCTACCCATTTTTTTCTTGGGTTTGGGTTCTGGTGTGACCTTGGGATTCTTACAGGATGCCTTGTTATGACCCCTTTTAAGACAATTTTTGCATTGGACTGTCCTTCATATTCCAGTAACCTTCATCTTGTTTTGGGAGTATTTATCTTGAGATTCAGTGACATGCCTCTTTCTTTTCAGAGTTGGTCTCCCTGGCATTCTTCTAGCTAAAGGGGGTAGAGGCTTTATGTATGATGTTCTAAGCCATAAATTTCTACCATTCACAGGCAGTATATTGTTTGCATATATGGCCTTGAACCTGTCCACATTAAACCACTCACTTATGAAATGAACAGGATCTTGTCTAGTGAATAGTATTGCACTCTGTGCATGTACACATGGAATTCCTGAGATATCCCAAAGCTTACAGCTGCACACTCTGCTTTATAAGTTAACCACGTACCCTTCTAATCCATTCCTGGCTTCAAAAATAGATGGTCCACATGGATTCACATTCCAATTCCTACAATAGCATTACTAAATGAAATCATAACAATGAAATTAGAATAATGATAACAAGGAACAATAAAAATGCTAAGACAAACCTCAAATCCTCTCCAAACTTGTTCATTTTCTTGATAGCAGCTGGACAAACCACTGATTCCCACTTTTCTGCCTTTTGTAACATATGGTAGAACCTATCCATCATGTACAACCTAATTTCTTCAAACATTGCTAGAAGGGGTTTCTTTCTAGCATCCAATATGATGGCGTTGAAGCACTCTGCTATGCCATTTTCAACTGCCTCACATGCTACATCAGTCCTAAAAAATGCCCTGCACCATGTGTGAGGATGTCTTGCAATCAAATGTTCATAAGCATTTGGATTAACCTCTTTTATATCATCCGTTTTCCTCATAAATTCACTCTCTACAGTTGATAAGGAAGCTGCCCAAAACATATTCTTGAACTCCACTCCAGAATAGGTCTTCCTAAAGTTAGCATATATGTGTCTTGCACACTATATATGCTCCACATTTGGTAGGACTTCCTTGGTTGCTTCAAGCAATCCCTACAATTTAATGAATACATAAACATATAAGATGATGTTAAGGAAAAATCAAAAATATGCTAAGAAATTACAAAACTTATGTTGATCAGAAATTACAGTAAACCCTCCTCCATCTAGTAGATTAAGATCCTCTGTGAGCAGTTCCAGAAACCATTTCCAATTAGCTTTGTTTTCAATGTCAACAACTGCCCAAGCAATTGAATAAACTTGGTTGTTTGCATCCCTCCCTATTGCTGTGAGTAATTCTCCTTTACATGTCCCTTTCAAGAAAGATCCATCTAGACCAATTACCCTATGACACCTTATTTTCCAACCTTCCTTGATTGCTTTAAAACACAAATACATCCTGTGAAAGTATGTTGTTTGATATGGATTTACAGTGACACCAACTTGGACAGTGCTACTAGGATTTGACCTTAGTAACTCATGACAATAGTCCCACACCCTAGCATAATGTTCTGTGAGTTTACCATCTATAATGGTCATTGCTCTACACCTTGTTCTGTAAGCCTTAGACCAAGACACACCACAATGAAATTTGGTCCTAATTATTGATTGCATCTCCTTACACTTCAAGTTAGGTTTCATTATCAACTCCTTCAAAAAGTGTCTTGCTAGCCATCTGGGACTCAGTAAATTTGAAATATTGAAATTTCTAACACATTTGTGCTCATCGACTAAGGTTTTAATCTGAAAAGACCTTTCTTGAGTCATCCAGGAAGCATGAACTCTGAATGGGCAGGGTTGAGACTTCATCTTAGAACCACATTTGGCAGTTAATCTCACAGTGTCATACTTCGCAAATTTAATGTTATACCCTGACTTAATAGCATAATTAGTGAGACATTGTTGCAACTGATGTGGTGATTCATACCTTTCACCAAGAAGGGGCTTCATCTTATTCCACTTAACTGATGGGTCGTGAATGGGGAAGCCTGCACCAACCGCATCTCCCAAATCAAGATCATTAGCCCCTGCAGTGTCATCGATTTCCTCTTCTGAACCAAACCCTTCTTCATCTTCATCAACTAAGTCATTTTCTTCATCAGCTTCATTATCTTCATAATCAGAACTGAAGTTAAGGAAAGCATCCTTGCATCTCTCTTTACCTTGTGTCTTGAAATCAACTTCTTCCATTTCCACATCTATGTGCTTAGTATCGAGCACCTCTTCATCATCTTTGTATTCTTCAGAGTCGTATTCTTCAGATGACTCATGGTGAACCTCTGATTCGACAGCCATTGGGTTTTACCTTCGTTTCTCTCAGTAAAACCCAACTTCCTTCGTGTATCACTCTGTAAAAACCCTAATTTTTCTCTCAATCGATCTACCAGACGTCGAATGCAGTAGAAATGGAAGGGTAAAAGTCACTTGTACACGTAAGGTGCCACATGCGCATAGTACCGGTGGGATACCGGCTAACCCATTAAATTTCCCGTTTTGATTACGTTTACAAGTATTTAGGACTAAATTGCAAAAAAAAAAAATATAGGGGCTACATCGATTATACGGCAATACATAGGGACTTTATTGCAGTTTTCTCTTTGTATTACCCTCATTTTAAGTATATTTTAAAACTAAAAACACATTTTTATTTTAAAACTAAAACAACAATGCATGTTTACTATTATGTGTTGCCTGTCGAAAGTAAATTGATTATACATTAGAATATATTCTAGAAATAAGTTTTTGAAACAAAACAAATTAGGGAAAAAACTATTTTTCGTTCTAATTTATAATCGTGATTATTTAATACTTTACCCACTTTAACCCACTTTAACGAAAAAAGTTATTTTTCATATTTGAACAATAAACAACAGATTATGTGATTTTCTCAAAATAATAATATTTTTTTCTTAAAAAAAATTAATTGAATCTTTTCTAAAAGTTTGAAACTTTTCTTTAGATTGCCCATCATAATAAAAGATGAGGCCCGGTACGAAAAAAACGAACAGTCGATACAGCCTGTAATACATCGAGGGCAAATTAATCGTTGTTCAGGAAAAATTTACTAATCTCCGGAATGAAATTATTCGACGTCCGCTGCATCGAACGGGTAGCCTACTAGTATATATATATATATATATATATATATATATATATATATATATATATATATATATATATATATATATATATATGGAAATAATTCTTGGCAATAGTAAATTGGTGGATTTTTTGGCCAAAATGGTCCCTCAACTATATTTAGGTATTTTGTGTCGATATCCAGATTTTGATAGTATCTTTTTAGCCTTTAGGTTTTTACCATAAATCTTTGGTGCATTTAACACTTTTGCTCTTAAATTCAAAACTTTTATATTTTTGCGTTTTCATTAAATTTGTCTGCTTTTTGGTTTTTGCCACAAAAATTTAGTGAGTTTGACACTTTTAGTCCTTACAGTTAAAAGTTTTAAATTTTGATGTTTTTGTCACAAATCTTTTATGAATTTGACACTTTTCGTCCTTGTACTAAAACCTTTTATATTTTGACATAAAAAAAAATCTCCTTTTGAATTTTGTCACCATATTTTTCTCAACTTTGGCAACTTTAACATTATTGACATAACATTTTTGAATTTTTGTGAGCAGTGTCCATTTTTTTGGTTATACACTTTTGAAATCTAGTTTTAGGTGCTGTTGACTTTCTCCCATATTTGTGGTGATTTACAATTCCAGCACATATCTTTTAAAGTTTGCCGATTTTTCCCAGATTTCCCCAAAAGCGGCGTAGCCGCTACCTCTTTACTAGTTGATATTCAACTTCAAGATATTTGCTACATATAAATTTTTCAAAATTTATTTCTTTATAATTTACTCAATCCATGTCTAGACTAAGATACTCTCTACTTGACCGATCTAGTACTGTTTATAAGACCCGATTTAATCAGTTAAATAACCCAGTTTTGAACCGGGTCTTAAAGCAAACGAGTCCTATATGAAAAAAGAAATAGAACCCCAATTTAAAACCGACTCCTACCTACCACAAAAGAACACAACCGGCACATATAAGGGGAACATAATGCACAAAAATGGATCTTATATGAAGATTTAACACGATCCTACCATACAAAATCGGTTCATATAAGGATATAAGAGCTCGATTTCAATCACCAAACCGGGTCATATAATGATTAAATATGTATCGGTTCCATTCAAATAACCATAATATAAAGAAAACAGGTGATAAAAAGCACACACTATGCATCCAAAACACACATTAAAAAAAAAACAAAAGTTATGCATTGATGAACAAATTATATTAATATAAACATGTTAAATAACCAATCATTATAGTCAATAATAAAAACATCCTTAAGTGCTGCTAAAAACTCCTTGATTTGTTCATTTCATACTACATAAAACTAACATAAAAAAATTCAAAAAAGAAATTGTTTTCCCATGTAGGGGGATTGTCTAATAATCAAGTGTTTCAGCTATTCTCCATCCTCACTTAAATACAAAACACACCAATCATGGACGTAGCTTGTATAGGGCGAGGGGGGCTATGGCCATCCCCATTTATATATATATATATATATATAATATATATATATATATATATATATATATATATATATAATTAGTCCATAACTATTAAAAAATTAACATAACATACCTAAAATCAAAGATCCAATTCATTACATAATGCCCACTCAGCTCACGTTACAATATGCCGGCTTGGTTGCACTAAAACTGTGATACAAGGTAAACATAAATCAGACAAATGATACTACATTTAACTAGTGGGTAAATAATAAGATAAATTACCTCAGTGAGCTTTCATACAACTGGAATTGATGTATTCATTTCATACCTCTCAAAAGCCTTAAAAAAACAAGTAGTAGAGTTTTATCAAACTTATAGAAAGAATATTATTTTAATGCCATATTAAGAAATTTATTACATTTCTAGAAGATTGAGCAAGTTGTAGTTATCAACAGGATTTTGCATAGGCTTCTTTAGAGAATCCAAAATGTATACAATGTGATTTGAAGGACAAATCACCAACAGGACCAATGCATAGTAGTATTGTTTTGAAATTTTAGTGTAAAAAAACAAAAAAAAACAAATAATTATTAATATAGATAGCAACGTATGGTACTTTTGCAGGTATGGTGCGATAAGAAATGATTTTCCATGATGAAGACACATCGCATCAACGAGATAATTGACGACATCAATCAGAGTTTCCTGACAGGTTTTCCCAAGAATCTTATATGGGTTTAGGAAAGAACATTTGTTAAGATGTTTCTGAACCATTAAGTGTAGAAGGCTACAAACAATATTATAAAACATTTGCAATCAAGTAATATCTTATGAGCAGCCAAAAAACAAATATTATGGAAATAAATAATAGTGAAATATGAATGTGCTTACATCTACCAAGTTGTTATGATGGACAAATCACCTGTTTGTTTTTTCAACAAATGATAATAATCTTCATATGTAACTAAAAAATCAAATGTCTCGACTTCTACTAGATGTCCAACATCAGCTACCAAGTGAACCACTAGGTTGGTCTTCAAAAGGTCACGAAGTGATTCTATTGGCCTTGGTTTGTTGATCTTTTGGTTAGACATGTTTTCTTCCATAACAACTTTTACGGTTGATAGCCGCGCACTTGTGGCCGAAATTTGTTGTTGTGATTGCGCCTTTCTTTGTTGTTCTTATTAATAAGTCATTTTAGTTAGTGAGAACATCGTATATGCCTTTCTTAAACATCAAAATATTTTATTTGTCAGCCTAAATATAATGTTTTGATGTTTAATAGGGGCATATAGGGAAGTCTCCAATTTTCAGAAAATGTATATATGGTAGATAAATAAATTAAAGGATAATGGATATGTACCTTACTAAGAACAATTGTGATCCACGACCATTAAATTATAGTGCCAACTGCATTTTCTAGGATACCAAATTCATCTGTCATCATAGGAACAAGAATACCTTTATATCTTTCATTTATGTTGTCTATCATAACCTTCAAGTGATTTTCGTGTAGAGGAAGTGAGTGAATTAACCCATCATTATAAGGAAAGACCATCCCTCTGGCACATTTTTGGTTCATATCATCATAAGGTAACACCAAATCACAATGAGTAATAGTCTGTAATCATATAACATGTAGTGTATTTCATGTGTCAATATGTCAGAAAATTTAACATAAAACATAATTTGACAGCAAAGTTCAAAATAATATGATATCAAGAAATTCAAAAAACATAAACTTAACACATTAAAAAAGAAAAATATGCTAAATTAAAACAGATATGCTAAATACAAAAGTTTGGAACTATTTTAGTATATTTTCTATCACACATGGACAATTATTATATATTTGTATAACATAAGGACCAATTCTGCATTTTTATAATACACAAGAAACAGTTATATTGCATTTTCCTGCCACAAGGAGCGACATCGAGAATTATTTCTTAGAGGTACCTTTTTTTGTAATTTTTTCTGCATAGTGCCTTCTTTTGTAAATTTAGGGACCATTTTTGTAATTTTTTCTTACAGGGACCATTTCTATAAAAGAACATACATAGACTATTTCTGTAATTGCTGCAACATAGGGACCATTCTGTAATTTTTACACAAGTTCCATTAATCTATTTTATTGTTTTCTCTGTACAACACATACATAACACATACGAGGGAATATTTTGTAACTTTTTTTTGAAACACTTGGACATTATAGAAGACTATGATTAGTCATCAGCTCTAACTCAATTGTATATCTATTTTCATACTTTGTTTTGGCCAAAACAAGTGAATTTGATTACTCTTTTCCCAACTTGTACCACATAATTATAATATATTTATGTAATCAACTAGAATTAGTGATAAAAATAAATAAACGGAATCATTGAGTTGTGGATTTTATTAGTTGTTAAAGGTTCATGCTATAATAAAGAACTACCTTTATCATATCTAAAGCATCCAATGTGGCATCGAGCCAGAACTATTGTTTTGAACACCAAAGCATACATTATTCGGAACTTGGTTCCAAGAATCTTGCATCACAAATTTTGTTCTTAACTCTACCAATTGGGTCATATGTTGATCTACATGCACGTGCATGTTACCTCATCTTACTAACAACTTCTTAGTCACGGGCTTTCCTCTTTATTTTGTCAAGTCCATGCATCCCCTTTCTTAAGCCAATGTCATGCCCCACACTCTAGTGCGAACAGGGTGCTCCGATCCTATCGCCATAGTCAACAAATCCTCTCCGGGAC